TAGTAGAGAGAGAGAGAGAGAGAGAGAGAGAGAGAGAGAGATGGGTCAGTTTTTAATATTTGGATTTTCTTCCATTGATTAGGTTGTCTGGATTACAAGCGCATGTGGTGGTATCGGTGAGTAAAAGAGAAATTTGTTATCAGTTGTGTGAGTGTGCTGTTATGATCGGGATTTTACCTTTAAATTTCTTGAGTCTCTAAAATTAAACCCCCAATAGACTGTGCATAAAAATTTGCTATGTCTAATTCATACGATTTGACTGTAATTGTGTTGCTCAATATATATATATATATATATGATTATTATTTCTTACAATAATTTATTCCTATGTACAAATTTATGGATTACTTATTTTTATGCTTCATATGATCTTTTTTCATCAAAAACCCTGGGACCCACAAATATAAGACCCCTCTATAACCGAAAATGGCTTCATCCAGGAAATTATGGGCCTTTAGTTCAATAGAGAAATGCTAAAATTAGAATTTTGATTATAATGTTGTAAAGTTGGGATGGCATTGGTTTATATGATTATTATTAGGTGTTCTTGACTACAGAAACCAGGAACTTCTTAACTTCTCAGGGAGGTTATCAAACACAGAAACCAGGAACTTCTTAACTTCCCAGGGAGGTTATCAAACACAGAAACCAGGAACTTCTTAAGTAACTTCTAATTTACAGTTCTTCAGGAACTTCCAATTTACAGTTCATGAACTTGCTTCCAGTTATCAAACAGGCCCTAAGAATATAAACTAGGACTTTTGTTTGCTAAGAATGGACTACATTTGAAGTCTAGAACAGGCTTCACTTGATCAACATAAAGAAAGACAAGCTGTACGAGGAAGACATCATGCAGAAAAAAAAATTTGGCCAATTCTCATGAATGAAATGGCAACTCCAGATAACTGAGCAGATGACAACAACAATCGAGCTTGCTAGCATGAGAAGTACTAGGTGGTCTGAGATCATACCAAACAAAAAGCAATTGATTTTTAAGGTGGAAGAAAATGCAAAAGGGATCATTCAGAGAGCCCTGAGTCAACATGCAAAGATTATTGAAAACAATGTACAGATAGATATAAGTATCTAGACTACTTTTAGGAAAACTAGGAACTGATTTCCAATATGAACCACTCTCAAACTTCCAATGGGGTGGAGAGCAAGAAACAATCATGCAGACAGCACATTATATTTTCTTTAAATTCTAATGTAAATCCAATGACTCTAACTTTATTACTAAGCCTGAGTTCTAATGTATCAAAAAAAAATTATTCTTTACCCATTAAAAATAAACCAATTTCCTCGAATTCAAAAGTGTGTATAGTCAGAGTACCCATCTTGTAAACAGAAAGCATAGGAGAGCTTTCAAAAAATAGAGTCGTCAGAAAAAAAACTATATGTCAAGGCACAAACAATAAACCTTGCAAAGTATTTCTCGTATTGCATTTGGCATCGCCCACAACAAGGCGGACGACATGCCCGCAACTGCCCCCCTGCTGTCTCAGCCACCCTGGCTCACCAGCTCCTCAGGCGCACCTCTCCTCCACTCTTCAGTAATGAAATTACTAACTTGGAACATCTGAGGGCTCGGCCACCCTCACAAATGGAAGGCAATTCGTGACTTCTGTCAAAAATACCTTCCCCCGACCATTGCCATCATCGAAACCAAACTCCCTACACCTTCCCTCCGCCAAATCCGTCAGGTCTAGGGCATGAGGCCTTGTCAATGGATTGCTCTTGAGGCCCAAGGGGCTTCGAGAGGCATCTAGGTGATTTGGGACCCGTCCCTTCACTCCCTCTCCTCTTCTCATGCGTCCACCTTCTCAGTCACAGTGGCTCTCACTAGAACTTCTGACGGGTTGCCCTGGAAATTCAATGCTATTTATGGTCCAAACTCACATAGCAATAGGGGCCAATGATGGGAGGAACTTAATGGGGTAGCTGCTCTAGCTCCATCAACATGGTGCTTAGGTGGTGATTTTAATGTCACCAGGGGGTCCTTTGATCGTAACTCTAACCCCTGGGTCTCTCAAAGTATGCTAGACTTCTCTAATTTCATCTTCAGAAACAACCTCAATGACCTCCCCCTCCAAGGAGCTGACTTTACTTTTTCAAATCACTCCCCTAACCCCTCTCTCTCCAAGATTGACCATTTTGTCATCGATCCCGATTGGGATGCTACTTTCCCTGACTCCCATGCCCTTGCTCTCCCCAAACCCACCTCCGACCACCGACCCATCCTCCTTAACACCCACCCTGCCGTCAAAGGGTCAAGACCCTTGCGCTTTGAATAAACCTAGCTTGAAGAGCCCAATATCCACTACTGGACCCCATCCTGGTGGGAGTGTTTCTCAAACCAAGTAAATGGCTGGGCCGGCTTCCGCCTCCAACGAAAATTACAACCACTCAAAGCTTCCCTCAAAACCTAGAGCAGCTAGCTTCCAGGCAACTTCAGAACCCAGAAAGAAAGGTTGCTTCAGTCCATACAAGACTGGGACCTAACCGAGGAACATAGGACCCTCTCCTTAAAAGAAAGACACCAAAAATCCCAACTCAAACTCCAATACCAACTAATCCTCAGAAAGGAAGAAATCTATTAGTGCCACCACTCCAGAGCCAAATGGCAAAATCGGGGGATCTTAATACCATTTTCTTCCACAAAATCACAAATTGCAGAACGTGAGATAACACCATTGCCCAAATCAACACCCGAGAACTTGTCCTCGACCAACCCCCACTTATGGAATACTTAATCACCAATGTTTTCATACAGCTCTTTACGGCCCATTCCGGATCTAAGCCATCAATGGGCAACCTTTGTTTTCATCCCATCCCACTCGAGAAATCGTCTTGGCTAGAGCAACCTTTCTCCAAAGAGGAAATGGTCAAGACAATCTCTGACCTAAGGCAAGACCGGGCCCGATGGCTACCCAATGGCCCTTTTCAAAACCTTTTGGAAGTCCATTTGACCTAACATACTCTCCATCCTTGAGGGGTTTCATACCAAAGGGGTCATCCACAAGGCCATGAATGCAACTTTTATCCCTCTCATCCCCAAAGTTGAAGAGGCTAAGGAACTTAAGGACTCCAGACCAATTAGTCTGCTTAATATCCACTCCAATCATCTCTCAAAGGTGTCAGGCATGGTCATATAGTTTGTTTTTTTTTTACACTGTAACTGTTGTATTGCAAGAGAGAGAAAAGTACATATGTAAGGCAAAGGTGACC